GGGCGCTGTGTGGCGCGCTGGCAATCATCACACAGGAAGTGACCATCAGCTGCTTTTACTATGCAAGAATCTGTACAGATCGTAGTTGCTAGCAGCTATATATATAAAAGAAACACTAAAGTGCCAGAAAAGAGTATGTAGAACTTTTGCGTCACTTTTAATGATCATTCAGCATCATAGAAAAATACACACACACACACACACACACACACACACAAACAAGCGGTTCAGCTGTGAATCTACCAGACAAAACACTTTTGAGATGCAGCGCCTCCTGCTGCTCATCAGTTGCCTTACATGCATTTTGTCCACAAATGGTACCTGTGCTAAGTTTATAAAAAAAAAAAGAAAAAAATATGAGAGTCTATTTGCAAATGTATATTTAGCCCTTAGAATCTGATCATCCTAGTGAGCATTGATCTATTTTTTTTTTTTTTTTTTTTGGCTGTACAAAAGAGGGTCATAGAGGGGAAATTGTAACGAGGGGCAGCGAACTCGCATGATGTCGTCGTTTTTTTTTGTCCTCATCATCTTCAGGGTCACGCTGGTGTCACCTTTGCCGCCTCGCCGTTTTTTTTTTCCTGTTAATCAGCCATCTTTTTATCACTTGAAAATATTTTCAATAAATATATTCCTGTTGGGGAAAAGGGGACTGAGGTGATGCAAGTCTTTTTTCCTTTGGGGGGGGGGGTTGTCATTCAACACCCATGATCCTAAAAAAAAAAAATGTAGAGAGTCTCAACATAAGCCCCTGACTGACGCCAAGTTTCAAAAAATCAACATGAGGGGTGTTCACACCGCACACATTTGCTCCGGCGCTGCACCGATGTATTTTGTTGCGATATATTTTACACCGGAGCAAATTTGGCGGAGCGGTCACACGTACAAAACCGCCGCAGCTCCACTTGCGTTCACACGGCAGTTTTCCGCAGCGGAGCAAAAAAAAAACGACAGAAAACAAATGAGCTGTCGTGTTGGTTCTTTTTAAAACTTCTACACAACTCAAGCGACTACTGCACAGCCACGTCCTTCTCCTTCATGACACTCAGAAAAGGAAAATGTAATGCGCCAAACAGAAAAAAATCAAAAAAAACACAACTGTTTCGCTCTGTTCCGTCACTTCCGGTTGCCTCACCCAAAGCCGTCCCCCTAGCAACAACTCGAACAATACTATTGTTACAACAACAAAGGAACAAACTACACAAACAACAACCTGTTTTGAAAACGGTTGCTCTAATTTGAGGAAGGTGGCTCATTATGAGACTCCCCCCCCCGAAACCCTGCAGCAAACGTCACAAAAAAATCCCGTCAAAACGAGCAGCTGCCGAATCTCCCGCCCCCATCTCAAAATGGACGCCGGCAACGTAACATCCGGGCCCGCGTTTTGGACCAATCAGCGAGCGGGAAGCCGGCCGGAAACAGCTGCTGAGGCGGACAACATTTTGGCGCTAAAGTTTGCTGTGGAAGCCGAGGCAGAAGGGAGGACGGTTAAGCACCACAGCGAACATTTTGTTTTCTCTTCTCCCCCTTTACCAACGTCTGTCACCCAAAGGTGAGTTTCCAAGCCCTGAGATCGATTTTGTGCGTATCCACCTCGTCAGATGCGGAAGTAAGCCCCCCTGTTGTGTGATTGTGTTCGGCTTGAACGTGGTCCGATTCGCTGCCTTGCAAAACGATCGACATTTTGGGCTTGAATATACTTGATCGCGTTGCCCCTTGTCGTGTTCACGTGTGAAATTTGTTCGCTTTTCTCGGCGAATCAGATCAAGCAATTGGCGCCAAGACGCGAACCATTTTCATCTCCCGCGCTTCGTTTTTTTTTTTTTTCTTTGTCGAAGAAAGGACCGGAAATAATAATACACTGGGGTGGTCCTTTTTTTTTTTTTTTTTTTTTTGTACGCATGAAATACATCTTTGTAAGTACATCTCCTTGGCAAACGAAATTGTTGAAAAATACAAATAATTCCAATGATGACGTACACTGTATAAATTATCGCGAGACTAAACAAATGTTTGACACTCGGCGCTGAACCCGAACGAGGCCCCCTACGTCAAGACAATTGGAGCTCGTCTGAGACTTGGCCAACATTTGTTGCACAGTCGGTGATTGGAAACTCGGTCCAAATCCGATTTCAAACGTGTTCTGAACCCGTCCCAAACAATTTTTATGAGTCATTTGAAATGTGATCTAAACCCGATGGAATTGAAAGGAGTGATTCCCTCATGACAGCGTGTCTGACATTTTCCTTTTCGGTTTGAAGATGCCGAACACTCGCTCGCGGGCTCACACGCAGCCCACCATACCCTTCCCCAGACGCAAGTCCGCCAGGGTGGCGTCGAATCCCAAAAGAACCCCGCCCGAGCCCCTCGAACCCGATAGGGAGAAGACGACGATGCCCGCCGTTCCCGCCCGGCGGCCGGCCGCGACGTCGCTTCCCCCGTCGCCGGACACCTCGCTCAGGCTTCCCCTCAGTCCGCGGAAACGTACGGGTGAGTCCGCCCCGAAGAATGCGTCGGTCAACATCCAACTCGGCTGACGCGGAGTGGAATTGAGTGTTGACGTTTTCCCGCGCCCAGGTGACGACAACGCGCGCAACATGGACGCCGCCGCTCTGTCGGCGTCGCCTCCCAAGCAGGGCAAAGCGTCGCCGCCGTCCCAGCGGCGTCTAGCCTTTGATGAAAACGCCGCCGGCCCGCCTTGCCGTGAGCCGACGCCGTCCTCTCCCGTCGCCGACTTGGCGGGACCCAGCCCGGGCGAGAAGAAGAAGAAGTCGGCGGCGGCGTGTCGACTCTTTGCTGAAAGTAAGGGATTGATTTCAACTCAATGTAAACGGTCGAAACCTGATCGAAACCTGTTGCGAACACAACCCAAATGTAATCCGCACGACTTTCGACGGATCATGTTCACCTTCCGCCTGAGCGCCAACTCCAGCTTTACCGCGACCGCACATTTAGCCCCGAGTCCAAACGTGGCGGACGCCTGATTTTTTTTCAACCCCAGCACAAACCTGATATCAACTCGTGTAAACGCTGTGGGAACTTGATTTGGAGCCAAATTTGGTCCTTTCGGCTTGTTTTTAAAAAAAAAAAAAAAACTTTGGGAACGCGGCATGAGCTCCATCGAAACTTGGGGCCGCATCTGATTCGAATGCGCTCAAAACACCCGTGAGTGAAACCGATTTGAAGCTGGTTCTGAACCCGATCAAGATTGACCGGATCCGACTGATACTCGGACGTTCTTTTTTTTTTTTTTTTTTTTTTTTGCAGGGCGCGGCTTAGCGAGCGCCAAGCAGGCGCTGCACACGGCGGCGCCCGAGCGCCTGCTGGCCCGGGAGGCGGAGCGCGCCGCCATCCGCGGCTTCCTGGGCCGGACGGCCGCGCGCCGTCTGCCCGGCAGCCTTTACGTCTCCGGGGCGCCCGGCACGGGAAAGACGGCCTGTCTCGACTGGGTCCTGCGCGACATGAAGGTGACGCTCGGGGCGGGGAAAAAAAAGAAACTGCCCCGAGTTGGCCCGTGTCGGGGGGCCCCTCATTTTGCCGTCGCCGTTTTGCAGGAGGAGCTGTCGCAGGCGCACACGCTGGTGGTGAACTGCATGAGCCTGCGCAGCTCGCGCGCCATTTTCCCGCTTTTGGCCGACAAGCTGAACGCGTCCGGCGGCGGCCACGAGGGTCTGCGGAGACACCTGACCGGGCCCGGACCCGCGGTGTGAGTACCCAATTGACCCGTTCTGAGTTTCAGCGTCTCCGGACCGTCGCGGCGCTCGACTCACGCCGATCTTGTCTTTCAGCTTGTTGGTTCTGGACGAGTTGGACCAGCTGGACAGCAAAGGCCAGGACGTGCTCTACACCATCTTCGAGTGGCCGCACCTGCCCAAGTCCAGACTTTGTCTTGTCGGTACGAACGGAGCCGTCGGGCAGGCCCCGCCCGCATTTCTCGAGCCCCGCCCTCTAAAACGGGCCGCCGCGCTTCTGTGCCGCAGGCATCGCCAACGCCTTGGACCTGACGGACCGCGTCCTGCCCCGCCTTCAGGCCAGGCCCGGGCGTCGCCCGCAACTGCT